CAAAAAAGCACCCATTCTAGTCAGGTTCCAAAAGAGTCAGCTCCATTCTAGTGATAATTTCCAGCAGATCTGTGGTGCAACAGCTTGACTGATTATTTTACAAAGGATGATGAAGTGGACATGGAACATAACCAGCCTTATACTGTATTTAATCCATGTTTCAAGTCCCCCTGGTAAAGGTTCCTCTATAAGGCATGATACTACCACCAACATGCAAGACAGTCAGTTTAGTAATACAAAGAGTTAACTTTAATTTCAGCACTTTAACAGGTTTGAGCAAAAGCAAATGCTTAGAAACATTATCTAACCTCTATTTTTAACCAATTTAAAATGAAAAATACTAACTTAAAAAATCAATAAAACCTATACCCGTATAATACAAATAAAAAGGAATCAAATATAATGAAGTGACTTTTATGTCTGTGTATTGCCCCCAAATGCCAAAAAGCTTTTGACCCTAGGATTACCTTGTACAGACAGTCTGTACCTGTCTCCATATTTTGTTTAGCAACATCTTTTTTTTCTTGGCTCATGGCAAGATTCTCTTTAAATCACTTTTCTTGCTGTAAGATTTATAACAATTACATCATTCCTCCAATATTCCAAAGAAGATACACATATAAATAACCTTTGATAGTTCAATAGCCTGATATCTGTATACTTGACAGTTTGTCATGAAAAGAATAAAACACTAGTGATCTTGAAACTGGTTAAATCTATGTGTAATGGCCCCTTAGACAGTTTTTTTAAAACTGTTTTGACTCCGTGTGTGAATTCAATCAGTTAAAGTTCATCCTTTTGATCCAGATAGGTGCACTCACAAAATCCACCTTCTGACATTCTGATTTCCTTTTCATCGTTTCTCTCCTTGTAATGAAACAGAAAATACAGGTTCCAAAAGACTCAGCTCTGCATTAGTGTGCACTTGAAACAACCTGAATATATGGGTTTTTCTAAAAAAAAAAAATAATAATAATAAATAAATAAAATAAAAGGATTTACTTTGAACAGGCAAAACCCCAACTGTTTGAGTAATTCCCAGGGCTTTATGATCCAAGTAAAGCTATAACATTTGGAAAAACTGCAAGCATCTTCAGTGTGTTATCTGGTAATTACTACTTTGACATTTCCATGTGGATATTCTTTGGTCATTTATTTTGAAAAAAGTGAGCTGTCAGAATGTCTAGCAAAGCTCTCCCTAGAGAGCAAATGGTTTATGGTTTATAATCTGTAAGCAGCACTGGCAAAACAAAACTCTGTTTTTTTTATTAGCATAGAATAATGTAATTCAGTTTCATGATCTCTAAATAAATTCCCATTCCAACAATTTTGCACCAAGTTGCTACAGTGAAACAGAGCAAATAAATCAAACATATTGGACTGTCTTTTTCCACCGTATTTTTGTTAAAACATTTTGCTCCCACTTAAACAGCTGTAACTTATACAGCCTTGGTTATGACAGGACTGCAAATTATTTGAATACCACAAGTTTCAAAAGTATTTTTAAAAATTGCAGAGGCAGAGAAGGTAGGGACAACAGCCAAAGAGCACGGCTACATTGTAGTGAAATATGAAAGTCCAGAAAATCCTGAATATAAATGATCTTTGCAGATACCCCATCTATATATTTTGTAGAGCTTTAGATTCATGTGATTAAGGAGCTTTTTTCATTATACTGATCAAGCAGTGCATAATGGCCATAAAGTGAACTGTTCCAATCTTTGCTTCCAAAGCAGCCATGATATGTGAAATCAAAAACACCTTCTGAACCCTAAAGATGTGCCATCACGCCTTCATGAAAGGACAACCTGCAGCACATTCAACACATGCTTGCTTTAATTGAGATCTAAGGAAGTCTGAAGCAGAGCCAACATTTCCCCAATAGTTTAACAACACCTCCATCTTTACTTATCTGAAAAGAAAAACAGCTACTTCACATTTGAATTATATCATTAGAAAAAATGAAAAGTAATTGTGTATTTTAAACTGAAATATCAAAGAATCAAGAATTTTATTTATTAATCAATTTTTAAATACTGCAACTTGAAAATGTATTTTCAAATCATAATTCTTTATCTTAATCCATAACCTCTGTTATGGAATAAGATAAAGAGAAAAAAATGATGGCTAAGTGAATATGCAATATATTAATTTAATGAAACATAAGATTTATACCTGATTGTAGTTTTTGGGTTAAAGTAGTAAGTTCACAGTACACTGTCCAACTTTTCAATCACTTCACTAAAAATGTTTTAGTTTTGCACCCTCTTTGCACAATTTTCTTTCTTTACTCTGACACAACATGACCCTGCCTGTGGAATGTGAAAGGGATCTCCCAACGAACCCAGCACAGGATGCGTATCAGGGTTTATCCTGATCTCATGTGACAGCCTGCTATCCTCTCTATTAATCTGCTGAAAGCTCAAACTAAACATCACAGCAGGGGGGCAAGATTCCCTGCAATTATCACATTTGAGTTAAGCTGGGTCACCCACAGTAAGAGACTCGACCTATTTTGATCAAAGCGTCAGCTGAACAGCCTGACCCAATATTTTTTTTACCTAAACCACCAGCACTCCCGTTCACTCCCAAAGTGACGGAGCAGTAAAGTGGTACTCCCATGAAGTCCGACTTTCAGTAGTAAAACTTTAAGTGAAAGCATACTGTAGGTACTGTAAATGCGAGATGCTTTTTGTGTTTGACTCTGTTATTAAAAATGGTTTGGATTAGACAAACTAAATGTTTACAGTAAACTTACATCTCTCTGTTTATAGTCAAAGCCATTGAATAATAACTAAATACATGTATGTTTTTCATGATTTGCATCTGAATGCGAAAAACCAAAAAATCTAATATTTTATATATTAATATTTTATTTTCATTTTTAATTTTCATGCAAAAACTCAAACAAATGCACATATACAAATACTAGAGCCTCCATCCCCTCCCTTGCTCGCTCAAAAACAAAAATGCAAAAAATGTAAGTCCAGTTAGCTTACACATTTACACCTACATGGTCCAAATAAGGTTTCCAGATTTTTAGAAAAGTTTTCTATGATTTCCTGAGGCTGTATGTTATTTTTCTCTAACTGCACAAAACTGTTCATTTCTATGTACCATTTGGATAAAGGCAGGGTAATCGGACTTCCATGTAAGGGCAATACATTTTCTAGCCACTGCAAGAGCTATTCCAAAAAATATAGATTGGTATTTGTTCAGAGGTTCCATTTTAACATAATGCCCAATTAAACATAGTTCAGGATCTAGAGGGGTTAAGATCTTGGTCATGGTAGAAAGTAAAAAATCATACATTATAATTACATAAATAATAAAAATATGTTTTTCAAAGAATAACTTTATTAGTAAGGGAAGAGTGACTATCTAAACCAACTCTGCCCAAGAACATGGAAAAACACGGAAGGCCAAAACATAAAGAATAACATCTAAACCGATGAAGACCTTAATATTTAGATGTCTGTGTTTAGAATTTCACAATAAGAGAAGTTTGGCAATAGTTACATTTAATTAAAAGACCCCAAAGGGGCTATCTCAAATTTAGCAAAAAATATTTCAAAGAGCCCCATCTGAGGAGAATATCTTGTGGAATCAAGAGGAATATATAAAATATATCTGAAGATGCGCCTCTTTATATGTCTGAACAGCATTTCACAAATAGATATCAAAATAACCACCAAACGGTGAGGGATGTGGGAGTTTTACAGCTTGAGGACGTAAGAGGCTTAATAAAGGAAAGACAAAAAATTTTTCTCTGGAGGAAAGTCCTGAATGTCCAGTCATTAATTTGTGACCTTAAGCGCACTCAAAAAAAAAAAAAAGTTTTGGAGTGGACTAGTTCATATCTGGACATAAATCCATTCGAGATACCGTTGCTTGACCTTAAACAGGTTGTCCATGCTACGACATCTTTCGGTGTGGCGGAATGAAAAACAAATTTGAAAAGAGTATCTCAAAAGGCCTTCAAATCTGCGCAAAAACTCCTTTAAATTTATTGCCTAGACTTGATGTCAGGAGGGGCACAACCAGCTGAAAGGTTTAGGGTGTAATTGCTTTTTCAAACCAAACCAGGTGGTGGAGAATTTCTGTTTGATCTGAAACATTTAACAATCTGAGACAAAAAAAATATGCTAAAAAAATTTATACATTTTTTTTTCACATCAATAAAAGAGTGGCTTATCAAATAACTTGATCAGTCTGTTCATTTTTGATAATGAATTCTCAACAATTCTCGGTCCTGTTTTTTTAGCGTTTTAATCAGCTCTTGATACAGTTTTGATTAGTTTGCATAAACCTCTACACTTATGGAGTTTAGAAATGTTTGCAAAACCAATGTGAAGTGCATAAAAATAAATCCCGTTTTTTGTTCAATGTCAAATTATTCAAAGATATTCATTTTGTCATATTACTAAAATGGCTTTGGTATTTTATATTTATCTTTTTTTTTTTTTTTTTACAAATTGGTCACAGTGAGTCATGCATGATCTTAAAAGTGCCCAAGCTCAGACACCTTCAGAAAATTGGTTAAGTTTGCTTTAAATTGTAAATCTTTTAACATGACTCAATGTTTTGCAAGGTATGTGCAACTAGTGAATTTTTAAACTGATTATGTGAAATCAGTCTCTCTTGTAGTCCCCATGAAGTCCAGCACCGAGCCCTAAGCAGCTTTGGCTGTTGTGCCCCAGCTCATTTAACTTATGCTAAATTCAATAACTAATGCTCTTTAAAACGTTTTTGAAAAAATTTTCCACTGCAAATGCCATGGAAGCTAAGGACAGAATTAAATATAATCTTCTGCAAAGTGGTGTGTGTATTGATTTGCATTTCTGAATCCACAATCTGCACATTACATCTCAAATTCCTGCCTTTGACTGCAACACTAATCGTTGAATGTTTTTGACTTGGCATTCTTTAATGCCGTATCTAAACGTCAAGGTTTTGCATCAGAAATGACTCAAAGATTGATAAGAAAATAGTAAACTCACCCATTAAAAGAGTAACCTTAAATCATGAGCTCTTGAGGCTTCTGGAGAGATGTTTAGAAAAGAAAAAGTCCACTTCGCAATAGAAAACTTCACAATCGTCACTCTCTAGTAAACCTTACCACGAGTTTTATAACCTCTTCTGAGTGACAGGCAAAAGTGCGCTGTCAACAACTGCCCCGTCGTCTCAAGCCTCCGCAAGGTTGTTCCTCTATTTTGGAAGCGTCTGAGGTCAAAGGACAAGGAACGACTCTGTGTGCTGAATGCCTCCTGTCACAGATCATGATTGGTATGTTCTGGCTTCGAGTAAAATGTGCTAACATATTTTTTTTTTTTTTTTTTGTGCTGCGAACCTGTGCGTACAAGCAGCGTCATTCCTGTGCCCTCAAGCACATCTTACCTTTTTATGTTACCTTAAGTGCTACCTGTGTGTGGCTCTATAGGAAAGAATGCAAGCAGGTTATGGATCTCTGTGATATTAATGATGACCAGAATGACATCCTGTTTTCTTTAAATGCAAATGAATTTCCACATGATCATGTTATTTTCAATTGGCACTATACCTTTACTACATGTTGCATCATATTAAATAAAGGTAGAAGCAGGTGCCTCTGTTTGCACTCTACAGTATAGTCCACACCCATCTGGATTTACGCAAACATGCGTCATCTCCACAAGCCGGAGTAAACCATTTCCGATGAACAAAAGTGAAAAAGTGCCTCGTGTGTTTAACTCACTGAAACCTGACATATCCTCTCAAGAGTATTGAGAGTCACACGTTTTAGCAGAAAGAAATGCTTTTATGTGTGAATGGATCATACTTTAAAGTGAACACCAAGAAAAATAGATCTAAAGGGGGTTGGGTCATTATGGCACTAATGGGGTTAAACTAACAGAGGCCAAGTATCAGCATTTAATACCACACCTTGTATAATAAACATGTCAAGTCTGTTTCTAGATGACATAACCATGCTGTAAAGATGGCTGTGACATTTCCATCTAAGCACTGTGATTCAGCATGAACATACCCCTTAATCTGTTCCATTAAATTCAAATCATGTGAGTCAATGTTTTATGGAAACACCTTTGTGTCTCTGGTAAACCCTATATACCTAGAAATTGAAACAAGCTCAGATTCAGTCAGATTAGATAAGAATTCTCTGTGGGCAAGTCTTGCCACATATTTTTGTTGGGATTCAAGTCTAGAACAATTAATTGTGCTTTGATCTAAACTGTTCCACTGTAGCTCCAGCTTTTAGTTTAGGTACAATGTTACCATTCCTTTCCCATCCCCTATCAGGTTTTCTAATAGAATTGTCGTGGTTTCTTAGCTTCCCTATCACACTCCAACCAGCAGTGTTTTTTTCGGAATTGCGTAGATTAAGTGTGTCTGGGGCTTTCCCAACACGAAAATTACATTGTACTATATCTAACCTAAGACCCTTAGTCCACATTTTTCTTTTACCTTCACTACATGACAAATTGTTGGCAAAAATCTTTGACTCCTTTTCAACAAGTGCTTTTATCTTGGCATTGTTTGAAAAAAGGCCAGATTTGTGAATTACACAACTAATTGTTGTCCTGTGAATCATTTCTCCAACCTGAGATATATATCTTCAATTTTCCTTTGCTTATTTCTCTGATTATTAACCTGTTTTCCAGCTTGTGAGCTTTGGTACAAGGCCATATATGGGGTGTTTGCTATACTTGTTTGAACAGTGCTAAGATGTTCAAAGCTTGGAAAACTGATTTATATCCCTGAACTATCTGCTGTGTTGGTTTTAAAATATATATATATCTATATATATCTATATCTCTATATTTATATATATCTATATATATAGATATATATAGATATAGATAGATACAGTAGATATAGATATTTATGCCAAAACTTCATAAATGTACTTAGTTAAACTGCATTAGACATGCACTAAAATGCCCCTGATTTGATGAGAATGTTGCTTATTAATCAGCTGTTTATTCTGCTCTTGGACACAATCTCCCCTCCCCTCTAGAGCAGCAGGACACTGCCTTTCCATCTATATGCGAAATCCCTGTTGAGGATTGTGCCTCTGCCTATTGAGGTAAGCAGCGAGAAAGTAGAGGTACGCCAAAATACATCACTTCCAGTGAGGCTCAACTTCTTAGAGGGTCTATGGAGCAGGGGCGGGTCGTGAAGGCGGCTACTCAATCCTGATGGACAAAACGGTACTTTAGAGTTTTTGACTGACAGTGACCAGACAGTGAGGAGGTTTTCCTCTCGAGTCGGGAGGGAAAGTGATCATTCAGTCAGAACACTCATCCTATGCTTAACTCCTGCCATGGTTTCTGTTCCCCTGTTGTAGGGATGTGTTTTATGTGTTTCAACATTTGTTATTGCAATGTGTGATGTTTGGATTTGATTAACACCACTGAGCCTCCCCTGTTTGAGAGAGATGCAGCCGCTCACTGCCTTACACTGAAGTTAGACTGCAAAAAGATAGACTCTTACCTATTGCTTTTCCAACGCCCACTGGTTGCATTAGATTGTATTTAGGGTGAAAAAAGGCTAAATAAATGCACACTACCATTTTGAAACTTTTCTTGTCCCTCCACCTTACATTTATGACAGTTCTGTGTTTTGGTCATGATAGCCACATAAAGTATGGTCCGTTTTGTGGTTGTAAAGGGAAATTCAGTCATCATATTTAAAACTTTATTGGTTACAGGTGTAACTTATCCACCCATTTTTACCTATAGTGGTCATTGGATGAGAAATTAGGAACACCCAGGTAACATGGAAACAGCTATGCAGGGACATGCTCGGCCCCAAGGGCATTTTAGTGAGCCCAGTTAGCCTATGAGTCATGTTGTAGACTGTGGGAGGCTAAGCAGTACCTGAAGAGTACTCACGCAAGCTTGGGAAGAGAGAACTTAGACAAGGTGTCATAACCAGGAGCTTCTTCCTTTAAGCCAACAGTGCTCGCCACTGTGCCAGCCATGCAATGTAATAGCCATTTCATGGGTTGTAAAATGTTTACTCCTCTCTTTTTGCTTTTCTTTTCTAAGCAGACATTTACTAAAATTTTTATTTACTTCCTTCAAAAGGAAAATGAACCATACAATTAACTATTGCATTGTTCATGCCTACCTAAAGTTCAGATGTGACTGGAGACCACTACAACGAGCATTCGGTCCAATTATAGCAAAGCAGCAGTGAACACAGAGTTGTGATGATTGGTGTAATCATCTTACTGTGGAAAGAATAAATCACTGTAGTTCATATATTCTCACCTATCATCAGACATTCATTCATTCTTATCCCAGCCCTGAGTTTCTTTTCTGTGAAGCACTAGGCCCCTCACTGTCTGTAGGTGTGATCTGTTTGATTTTAACCAATTAAAGAAAACAAACATGTGACCTTAAATAAAATCACACAATTCAGTTTTAGCAGTTTTGCCCCTATTTTACAGAAAAAGTAACCACAGAGGGAAAATGAGAGGAGAAAATGCTGTTGCTATGGTAATGTATGTAGATTTATTGGCAGTCTTTCCTCCTGAGGTGTAACAATGCCACCTAGTGACATGTGAAATTATTAAACACCCCAGGGATGCAGTTTCACATAACAGTAGTATTTTTACTATACTTCAAAAGACTTAGAACTTTATGTTAATAGAGTTAGGGTTTAATTTCCAGTTTGCCCAAAATTAGGAATATAATAATAATACTTAGAAATACTGCTTTTATTAAGGTCATGAAATTTTGCAAAAATGAAATGCCAAATTTAGAAACCTTGTTTTTTCTGTTACATTCAAACTTATAGCTTAATGTCTATATATATGTCTATATATATATATATATATATATATGTCTATATATATATATATATATATATATG